TTGGCAGAGTTGGATTCTCAGCTTTATTTGCTGGCAGATCGAGGGTGCCCAGATTGCTTCGAGCCCTTTGGGGTGTCAGTTCACCTTTTCTCACCTTACTTATCTCTGCAGCTTCTGTTTCTGGGACCAAATCATTAGAGGGTCATCCGTCCTTTCAAGAACATGTGATCCTAGTAAAGCAATGAGTAGGCCGGCTCCGGGGGCCGATTACCCAATAAGCCACGTACACCCAGCTTAACTGTAGTGAACAATTTCACCTGGGTTCAACACAGCTTTGACCTGTAGTGGACAATTTCAGCATGTTCTTGATGTGGTGAAGCCGAGGTGAAATTGTGCACTACAGATTGGTAAGTAAGCACAATTAAGCCTGTGCGTACTGGTTAATCTGCCCGTGTGTCAGAGTAGATTGTGCTTCACAAGGTTTTCAGTGGCTGATTTTTCAGTAGATGGCCAGACAGCAAAACCAAACCTAACTCATTGCTGTCCAGTCGATTCCAACAAATAGCAACCCAATGGGACAGAGTACAACAGCCCCCCATGGTTTCCAAGGTTGTAAATCTTTACAGAAGCAGACTGCCACATCTTTCTCCTTAGATGGGTTCAAATCAACAATCATGGCAGCTGAACACTTACCCATCGTGCCACCGGGTGTCACTTTGGTCAGGCATACCACTGCCATCCAGTCAATCCCCACTCATATGGACCCCATTAGTTTTGCAAGGCTGTAAATCTTTATGGAAGCAGACTGCTTCATCTTTCTTCCATGTAGCAGCTGGGGGGTTCCAACATTGACATTATGGTTAGCCAGATGCCTTAACCATCATAGCACAAGAGCTCTTTGGTCAGACACAACCCCTTATATCCCTCGGTGTAATAATACACAGAGTGAGGTCTTTAGTCCCCAAGCTTGTTGTTAGGTGGCATTGTCTTGGCTCCGACTCATGGTGACCTCATGTACAACAGAATGAAACACTGCCGAGTCGTGTGCCATCCCCACAATCCTTGCTGTACTTGAGCCCATTGCTGCAGCCACTGTCCGTCTATCTTGTTGAAGGTCTTCCTCTTTTTCGTTTACCCTACACTTTACCAGGCATGATATCTTTCTCCAAGCGTGGTCCCTTCTGACAACATGACCAAAGTAGGTGAGATAAAGTCTTGCTGTTCACGCTTCCAATGAGCATCCCAGCGGCACTTCTTCCACATAGATTTGTTCATTCTTCTGGCAGTCCATTGTATTTTCAGTATTCTTCACCAACACCACAATTTAAAGGCTTCAATTCTTCAGTCTTCCTTATTCACTGTCCAGCTTTCGCATGCATATGAGATGATTGAAAATACCAAGGTTGTGCCTTGGGTCAGGTGCACCTTGGTCTTCAAAGTGACATCTTTGCTCTTCAATACTTTAAAGAGGTCTTTTGCAGCAGATTTGCCCGGTGCAATATGACATCTGATTTGACGGTGGCTGCTATGCATGTTGACTATAGATCCAAGGAAAATGAAATCTTTGACAACTACAATCCTTTCTCCATTTATGGTGATGCTGCTTATTGGTCAGTTGTGAGGATTTTTGTTTCCTTTATGTTGAGATTCAATACATGCTGCAGACTGTAGTCTTTAATTTTCATCAGCAAGTGCTTCAAGTCATCTTCACTTTCAGCAAGCAAGGCTGTGTTGTCTGCATATCACAGGTTGTTAATAAGTCTTCCTCCAGTCCTGATGTCCTGTTCTTCTTCATACAGTGCAGCTTCTCAGATTATTTGCTCAGCACACAGAGTGAATAAATACGGTGAAAAGATACAACCCTAATGCACACTCTTCCTGATCTCAAACCATGCAGTATCTCCCTGTTTGTTTGAATGACAGCCTCCTGGTCTATGTACAGGTTCCTCATGAGCACAATTAAATGTTCTAGAATTCCTATTCTACTCAATGTTGTCTGTAACTTGTTATGATTCACACAGTTGAACACACCGTCCATAAAACCAAAGTAAACATCTTCCTGGTATTCTTTGCTTTCAGCCAAGATCCATCAGATGTCAGCAGTGATATCCCTCATTTCACATCCTCTTCTGAATCCAGTGTGCATTTCTAGAAGTTTTCTGTCAATATAATGCTGAAACCATTTTTTAATTATGTTCAGCAAAATTTTACTTGGGTGTCATATTAATGATATTGTTCAATAATTTCCACATTCTATTGGATCACCTTTCTTTGGAATGGGTACACAAATATGGATCTCTTCCAGTCAATTGGCCGGGTAGCCATCTTCCAAATTACTTGACATAGACAAGTAAGTGCCTCCAGGGCTGTATCCATTTGTTGAAACATCTCAGTGGGTATTCCATCAGTTCCTGAAGGCTTCTTTTTC